TTCTTCTTTTATTCATTTTTTAATATCTTTTTATTTCCATATTTCAGGCTACATTCCCCAGTCTAGAAGAACTGAAATTGGCATATAATGATAATATGAAAGAGATATGGCATGGGCAGCATATTCTAGGGGATTATTTTCCCAAACTAAAAGTTCTTGACCTCACCCAGTTCCCTGAGCAATTAGTTATCCAGCCTTTTGTCTTTCAGTCTCCAAATCTTGAAAAGCTTGTTGTGAGTAAAGCTCCCTTTCAAGAAATATTCAAATGTCAAGGACTTGGTGGTGTGGAAAAACCTGCACCTGCACCTATTCAGTTAAGTGGATTAAGGTTGCATGAACTTCACGAGTTAACATGTCTCTGGAAGGAAGAATCAAATTTGGAATCAGTTTTCTCTGATTTGAAAATTCTTGAAGTGCTACGGTGTAGGAAACTAAAGAATTTAGTGCCATCCTTCATATCTTTCAAGAATTTGACAACTTTGGAAGTATTTGCTTGTCATGGACTCATAAATTTAATTGAATACTCAACCGTCAAAAGCATGGTGCAACTCACAAGAATGAGTATACGTGAATGTCATATGTTAAAAGAAATTATTTCGTGTGTGGATGATGAAGTGAAGGATGGCATTGTCTTTAGCCAGCTCAAGTATTTGCAACTTTGTGGTCTACCAAGATTGGCAAGCTTTTGCGCAGGGAGTTGCAGCTTTGAATTCGTATCTTTGGAAGAAGTAATTGTGATGGGTTGCCCAAATATGGAGATCTTCTCTCACGGGGAATGCAGCACCCCTAAAAAATTGCAATGGGTGAAATTGACAAAATATGGAGGTGAAGGGTTTTGGGAAGGCAACCTTAATTGCACCATACAAAAGATGTTCATAGAAAAGGTATGCATTAATTCAAAATATTTCCTTAAGTTTTCCGCCTTAATTTCGAAGTTTTATGTCCTAGTGCTAGCCCTTTCTCTGTTTAATTTGTTTGGTAAAATGTAAACTTCTATCAATAGCAAAGGCCTACCAGATCAAGTTTTTGTGCAAAAGAATGAACTAAATGAAAGCAAATTATCAACACTTAGTTAAATTTGTATGCCGTGGCATCCATCCATGTTCGTTCTGTGTACTGACATTTGAAATATGTATTGACTAGACATAACACTTTGTGTATGTAGCTATTGAAAGGAATAAGATTAATTGCCTTGGGATCTATAGAACTCGTGTTGGGAACTATTAATTAGAAAACCTATTCAAAGCAATTAACCATGGTTTTGTGTAAGTAAGAGACTGAATTTTTTTTTTTGTTTTTTAGTATGGCTGTAGTTTTGGTTTTTAACTTTGTTTTATTATAAATTTTGCAACTTTAAATAAAAAACTCAATTATTTTCATATTTTATTGTAACATATTACCATAATTATAAGAGAAATAAAAATAAAAATAGTTTTCATGTTATTAAACCAATTTATATTTTTTTTATTGTTAGTGTTCGGTTTAAACAAATTGTTAATTTTTATTTTTCATTTTGATTCTTAATAATTGTAAAATTCATGAAAATCAAAATTAAAAAATAACAATTATACTATACAAAAACTTAAATTCACAATATAATTTTTGGGATAGATTATTTGTCTTGGGATTGTAACATAATTTTATGGAAAATTCTAAGGTGATGTTTTTAATTTTGATAGGCACAAATTGTCATTTGCAAATTTTAAGAAATTGTTTTTTTTTTTTCTAATCTAATTTTTATCATATAGACAGGTTTTTTTCTTCTGTCCTTACTATTATTAATATAATTGCTATTGTTTGTTTCTTATGGTTTATCTAGCATATAATCTATTGCATCTTGTAGGTTGGATGCCATGGGTTGGAGAATTTGAAGTTCTCTGAATTTCCCGAGTTGATTGAAATTTGGAATAAGAAACCTCAAGAAATCTTGCCCTTCAAAAGTCTTAGATTTCTAGAAGTTTGTAACTATAACAGTTCCAAATTCCTTCTAACCTCTTTCATGGCGTTGGGCCTGGTGCAACTCTCTAAACTGAAAGTCACAAACTGTGCCACGATGGAGCAAGTGATCACAGGACAAGGAACTGAGGACCTGTTTCCTAGTCTATTCACTATTATTTTAGAGTCTTGTCCCAACTTGAAATGTTTCTATGAGGGAAGTAGTGGGCTTGAGTTTCCACGGTTGCGCAGAATTATGGTTGTTAACTGCCCAGTTTTGGCTGCTTTTGCTTCTTCATTTTCAAGTGACCAAAAGAAAGAGATAACAACTAATGACCCAAAAAGTGAAGAATGGTCTGTCATCCCTACTCAACCTTTCTTCAGTGATAAGGTCAGTTATTTTGTAAAAATTATTTTATTTTACTTTTACAGAGTATTTGTTTCTTCAGCGTCGATGCTGCTATTATCTTCACCTAATTACCTTAATAGATATATCAATTACTTTAAACAATTGTGCCTAAAAGAACCATAATTGCAGCAAATTCATAGCAACAACCAATAATAGAAGGCTCTCAAAAAATGTTATTGTAAGAAGAATCAAACACTTCATAACTTACATAATTTTTCCCTTAATATTCGAAGAAGTTAAACATCTCCATCATCCAAATTGTGTTTAAAATTTTTTTACATATGTTAGACTTGATTCAGGTGTAAATATATTTTTGCTTATTCTTCATAAATAATATCATAATTAATTTTTCTAATCAATTGAAAAGGTAGATATTTAATTTTCTTAATTATATATAATAAATTGTCCCATAAAAAAGTTATATATAATAAATTATATATGCACAACAGTAATAGTCAATCTGTATGTTAACGACCTAAGTAACTCAGTAGTCATCTTCTTCCGTTGGAAGTAAGAGATCTTAAGTTAGAGTTGTATGACGTGTGGGTGGGGTGGGATAAGGGATGAGAGATGGTTGTCTTTCATTGTGCAACCAAGATAAAAAAAAAAATAGCCAATTTGTATAAATATTACAATACCTAGTATTACTACATTAATTCTAAAGGTGTAACATAAAACTTTCCAGAAACTATTAACTATTAATGACACAACAGATGTCTCTTTATTTGTTGTGCCTAAAAATTCTCCACTTAAAAATTAAAAGTAAAATTACTCAATTTAAGAAATTCAGTTAATTGGACAATGTTTAACTATCTCAAAGAAAGTCTTCTGCCATCCTTCATTCTAAATGTTTATATGTGTCATTTCTCATGGTTTTGCTTTGGGATTATCGTTGCATTGTTTCTTTGGATTAAGAAGAAATTCTTCACAAAAAGAATCTTTTGCTGATGAGGTGTTTTAATTTGGAGTTATTAATATTCTTTTTAATTAACTGTAGCACAACTTACTTCAAAAAATCTCTTCTTTTTTCTCATTTTAATAATTTTTAATTTTAAATTTAAGAATTTTTTAATCAATAAAAGTAGAAATTTTTATTTATAATACTTTTAATCCTTTATAGAATTACTTATGAACAACATTCTCAATTATATCTCACTGCACACACATACTTCTATTGGCGCCTATTAGTTGAAGGCATGCCAAAATCAATAGACACTCAAAATATGTAGGAATGGTGCAATTACCTTCACCTGGTTCTATCATGTTGGCCTTCTAATGCAATTTATGCTTTGTTTATCTGCTAACCTCTTTTGTTGGTTAGTCTCGAAGCACAAATAGCAAGATTGAGACACCAATTTGAATAGGTGACCGTATAACTAACCACCTTAATTGCCTGTTTTCCACATAAATGATCTCCTTTAATTTGAATCAATTAGAGAGCCATATAATTAGATCAATCCTCCCCTCTAAATAGTCTTTTGTTCTTGCATATCCATTATCCACACAATCCAAGTGATAACAAAAAACAGTAATGGCCAAACTTCCCTCTCAGATCTTCCTACCACCTCAGAATTGTGTTGATCATATAATTGTACTCCGTTGAAGCAGCTAAGACACCACCACATACAGCTCCAACTACAGTTAAGGAGTACATGGCTTAACTCCTCCATTCCACAATTTTTAACACCATTGACCATCCTTTTTCTTATCCATCAACAAAATGATAAGCTTTTCTTACAAAATGAATTGTATGCTATGCAGGTTGTGTTACCAAGCCTAAAGGAGCTACAATTATGCAGGATCAATGTTAACGTGAAATGGCACACTTCAACAGCATCTTTTTGTTTCAAGAATCTGATGAATTTGATCATTCAAGGTTTTGACAATTTGAAATTTTTGTTCTCATCTTGTATGGCTAGAGGTCTGGTGGTGCTTGAACGACTTGAAATAAGGGAATGCAAGAGGATGGGAGGGATTATTGTCACAGAGAATGCAGAAGAAAAAGAGAATTTGATTTTTCCTCAATTGAAATACCTATTGATAAAAGACCTTCAAAACCTTGTTGGATTCTACTTAGGAAATTGTTTTGTTGAATTCCCATCCTTAAAGGATTTGAAAGTAGTGAACTGCCCAGAATTGAAGGGATTCATAGTTAAATATTTTGAAAGCACAAGTTGCATAGATGACACGCAGACACTCTTCAATAAACAGGTAATACGTTCCTTATTTCACTTTTATTTTGGCTTGAATTTTAGGGACTAATAATTGTCCTTATCCTTTCATTGTCAACGCCATGATGCATTCATTCATTATGTAGGCTGCATTTCCCAACTTGAAATGGCTGACTATCAGCCACTTGAAAAACTTGGGGATCATATGGCACAACAAACTATATGTAGATTCATTTTGCAAACTAGAATCATTAACAGTTGAAAATTGTGAAAAGTTATTGACTGTGTTTCCTTCTATTGAGGTAACATATTCCTCATTTACTTTCATTTTGGCTTTAATTTTAGGGACTAATAATTATCCTTATATGTAGGCTGCATTTCCCAACTTGAAATGGCTGACTATCACCCATTTGAAAAACTTGAAGACCATATGGCACAGCAAACTATCTGCAAATTCCTTTTGCAGACTAAAATCATTAACGGTTGAAAATTGTGAAAAGTTATTGACTCTGTTTCCTTCTACTGAGGTAACATATTCCTCATTTACTTTCATTTTGGCTTTAATTTTAGGAACTAATAATTATCCTTATCCTTTCATTGTCAATGACATGATGCATTCATTCATTATGTAGGCTACATTTCCCAACTTGGAATGGTTGACTATCACCCACTTGAAAAACTTGGAGATCTTATGGCACAGCAAACTATGTACAGATTCCTTTTGCAGACTAAAATTATTAACAATTAGAAATTGTGAAAAGTTATTGGCTGTTTTTCCTTCTACTGATATATTGGGAAAAATCTTGAAATCCCTAGAGAAGTTGTTTATATATCAGTGTGGCTCACTAAAAGGGATATTTGAAATTAGCGAGTTTAATGTCAAAGAAACACATCCTGTAATTGACACCAAGTTCAAACAATTGAGGATTAAAGGTCTACCAAGATTGAAGCATGTGTGGAATAAGGATCCCCAAGGAACACTCACTTTTCACAACCTGGAATCAGTCAAGGTAAGTTGTTGTGGGAGTCTCAAAAATTTGTTTCCAGCTTCAATAGGCAAAAGCCTTTTGCAACTCCAAAAGCTACATTTATACCAATGTGGGGTGGAGGAAATTGTCCCAATGGGAGAACAAGAAGCTGAAACAGTTGTTAGCTTTGAATTTCCTCAAGTAACAAGTCTTAAGCTTGAGGTGCTACCAAGATTCCAATGTTTCTACCCAGGAAAGCACATAACAGTGTGGCCAATGTTAAAAGAGTTCTGTTTTTCCCATTTTAATCAAGTAAAGAGAGCAGATGGTCATGAGCAACTTGACTTCCCTATACAATTACCACATTTCTCTATGGAAAAGGTATGATTTGTATCTTAACTTTCCATTGTTAAAGTAGAGCCTCTTGCCAAAATAAAATAATAAAAGAACACCTTATTACAAATATATATCATGTAACAAGTCATTAATTTTTAATAATCACCATACATGGATAATGATATCATATTGGAAAGATGTGGTAACTTGCTTTACTAAGACTTGAGACTGCATGAAGATAATTCTTGGTATTTCTTTAACTTTGTCATTATTGTTTGGAATCTCTGTATTAGACAAATCTGCTTATGTTCATTTAAGAAAAACATAGTTAAAAACTCTTTTATTATGGCTATCAAACCATTGTAAAGAAAATCTTGATCTGTAGATTAAGAAAAACAAGCTACTTAGTGAATCAAGAAGGAAAAAGAGCTGGCTTTAGCTTTTGAATTCTGCAGAGCAAACCAATTACTGTTATGGTTAGAAAATCTAGTTAAAAATAAGAACTCCCATAACTTGAAAGCATAATTTGATCTAGCATAGAAGTGTACCAAATGTTAAGCTTTAGAAGCCAGGTATGGTAAGCAAGAAATATTAAGTTAAGAGACAGTATTTTATGAGTGAAAGGCATATTATTTTAAAGTGAAATTATTTATACGTGTATCAAGTGGATAGTCCATTTCAAAATCTATTCACAAAGTGTAATGATCGGTTTAACTAAAAAACTCTCTTCTGATTATACCCAATATTGGAACAAACTTAAAAAACTTAAAAGAAAAAATTAAGCCATATGCAATGTTGAGATACAATTTACCTTCGCATAAACAATAAGAAATTTCTGGACTTCCAAAACGCTAGCCATACAGTTAACCTGAAATGGTTAGAGAAACAAACATGAGCTATGAAGCTCACTAAGCATAAGTCATTACTTAAAGCTGTGAGTGTTGAGTCAAATTAACACGAATAATCAAATAATCAATGTTAAAACTTATAACTAGAATTCAAATAAGGTAAAATATAAAGGTGACAGGCATAGCTTAATCATATAGATCAAATCTCTTAGATAGGTTCTTCATAAATTCAACACTAAATCATTAACTTCAAACATAATAAATATCATTAGATTACTAAACAATTCAAAAAAACAAACAATCACAGAGTCTATGGAGTCCAGTTAACAATTTGTGGTGCACTTCACATTAATCAAGGCCAACCGTAGCTTTTTATTGTGTAGAGGTCCAATCAATCAAAGTTGCTCAACTTAGAGCCCAAACAATTACGTAAAATTAGCATAGGTTCCAAACCCTCCATAGACTCAAACAATATCATAAAGCACATGGCAGAAACTATGATAATCATGGTTTGACAAAACAAATATCGAATGCCAAGTCTCACAAAACAAATGGCCAAAAGTCTGTTTCTCTTCCTTTGGTTTCTAGTTTAGAAATTATACAAATACAAGTGCTTAATGCTTACAAGCAAATGTAAAATGTTTGGATGTTTGCCACATGTCTTTGCCACCCCATGAATAGATTTGACAGCTGTATTCCATTATAAAAATTTCTGAAAACTGACATGTAAACCCGAAACTCTGTTGTTATGCAAGTAAGTTCTGACAATTAAGAATAGAAACTTATGAATTGTGCAAGTCATTACATTCATTCCACCTAAAAATGCACTCTACAACATTTTTCAATTCAATTAAAAATAAGAGTGTACTTGGTTTCCATGTGAAATATAGTTAATATTTTTAATAAAATTTTTCCTTTTTTATATATAAAATCATTAGATCTTATTTTATTGAATTTTATTTCTTTCCAGATCAACCCTCAATTGGAGAAACTATCATTAGCAAGACATGATATTGCAATGATATGTGAACATGAGTTGAAACAAGACACTCTTTTCAATATCAAAGTTCTTCAAATTCAAGACTATCTTGATGATGAATTAGATATTTTACCTGTTGGATTCCTAAGAAGGTTTTGCCATCTAGAAAATCTCGTTGTGAGATACTGTAATTTTAAAGAGTTGTTCCCTTCAAAAGGAGAATTTGAAGAACAAGAGAAACACATTGAGATTGAGACACTCTCAAGGATTAAAACAATAAAATTGAAGCGCCTTCCATATTTGAAGCATATATGGAGCCATGACTCGTCAAGTGTTCTTCAAAATCTTGAGACTCTTGAGATAGTCAAATGTGATAGTTTGATCATATTATCAAATTCAACTTCATCTTTCCAAAATCTCACCACTTTGAGTGTAAGAAGTTGCAAAGGGATGATAAATTTGGTTTCAGTCTCAACAGTGCAAAGTTTGGTGCAGCTAGAAAGGATGACTATAGATAGTTGCCACATGTTGACTGAAATAGTTGAAAATGAAGGAGATGGAATGCAAGATTATATCATGATCACTTTTACCAAACTAAAAATTTTGACACTTCAACATTTGCCAAGACTAGAAAGCTTTTGTTCAAAAAATTTCACCTTCAAATTCCCATGTTT